GTAGCACGGATCCAGGGGATCAAAACACCGCTGACGTCCGCCTTGCGACGCAAGGGGAAGACTGTGGTGTAGCGTGTGTAGTCGTCAACAACCAGCAGGAAGTAGCGCTCCTGGTCCGTCCCACCGACGGGGGCCGGGCCCCACACGTCCAGGTGGAGAGTCTGCAGAGGAGCAGTGGTCGGAGGAAACTCGGAGGAGTGAGGAGCGGCGCGCTGCCGCCCCTCGACGCAAGGAAGGCACGGCGGCGCAAGCGAGCGCGGGAGGGGGGGCAGGGTCGCAGGGAGGCCAGAGACTAGGAGCCGGGAGTGCATGCCACGCAGACGCAGCTGCGACGGGTGGCCAAGACGGTGGTGCCAAAGCTGCGCAGGGTGGGTGAGGAGGCGACACGAGCAGGACGCAGCGAGCTGACCGGACGCAGCCACCTGACCAGACGCAGCTACCTGTGCAGACGCTGTGGTGAGTGTGTACAGGTTCGACCCCGGCTGTCGTGTGAACGTAGCCAGGTGACGGCCTGTCTTGGCGCATGTGCAGATCGCCACACGCTGACCTCCAGGAGTAAAGGTGTCAACCCATACATCCTGAAGGACGGCGTTGCTCACCAGGTTCGTCGAGAACGAGGGGAGGTGGAGACCGGACAGAGAGCCAGAGGGGACAGCCGGGCACGGGAGGACAGTGGAGTGGCGTGCAACCATCGGGCCCCCAGAAGGGTCCGCCAGTGAGACTGGGACTGGGGTAGTGAGTGGGGTGACAGTGGTGCTGTCGCGAAAGAAGCAACGTGACGCACCAGAGTCAAGTGTGAAAGTGTGCAAGACCTCAGCAGGAGCAGCAGACTCACTAGCACCTGGGGCAGTAGCGACACTAGCACCTAGGGCAGCAGCAGACGCACTAGCACCTGGGGGAGCAGCATCACCACCAGCATCGCATGGCACACACGAGTAACACGCATCCTCAACACTATAGTCAGAAACATACATAGCATAGAGAGCATCATTGATCTTAGCAAAGTCAAGAGCAAACACATCTACCCCTTTCCCTATCAGCTGCAGCCAGTTCGGGACCTGCTGGTCCTCGGTGTACTCAGTCACCCAGGCGTCTCAAGACGGCCGAAGCACTTGTACTCTGTGTGCGGCTTCCCGCAGACTGTGCCCTTCAGAGGCCCCGTGCGCCGGACATAAGGGCAGCGACCAGAGCCCCAGAGCCCCCACGCTGGAGAACCCACTCACGGAGCTGCTGGTCGGTGGGGTTGTCCGGGAGGCGCGGCAGCTGCTGACCACTCCCGTAGCCACGGGAGGGTCCACGAGTGCCACCACCCCTGCCAGACCCACCCCGACCTCCTCCGCCTCCCCCGCTACCCCAACCGCCTCCCCCACCACCGCCGCCTCTTCCACCCTGTCCGCCTCCTCCACTGCCGCCACCCCCAGAGCCACCCCCAGAACCTCCACCACCCCCGCCACCCCCTCCGCTGCTGCCACCACCACCACCCCTGCCCCCTCTGCCCTTGCTGTTGTTGCGCCGTCCACTGGGAGCAGACGCAGCGCCAACGTCCTCAGCACCAAGGAGGTCGACTGCAGCAGCGGTAGCAACTGAGGGGAGGAGAGGGGAGGGAGTACACCCTTCAAAGAAGGGGGAGCGGGGGGTGCCACGAGAGGCAGCAACAGCGACAGTGCTCTTCTCAACCTCGAGAAGGGCCTTCTCGAGCGAGTCAAGTGTGAGCTCAGTGGGGTCCATGGCTAGGAACTGGTCCCTGACAGTGCGAAGGGAGTCAGGGAGGCGAGTGATAAGAAAGTACAGGGTGAAGTACTGCGGGGGGGGGTTCTTAGTGAGAAAGTCCGGCTTGAGAGCGGCACGGAAGCGATCCTCACTAGAGCGGAGGTGGGTAAAGAGGTCAGAGACAGTGCGGAACTCAGCTAGATCGGGATGCAGGTACGGCAGCATGAGACGACCTACAGCAGCAGTAGCTGGGGAGGAGTAGCGAGAAACTACAGCGTCATAGAGATCCTTGGCCGTTTTCTGCAGGCTAAAGAGCGCGCGCTCAGTGACTGGCAGGTGGTTGCGGACAGCAAGGCGGGCAGCTGCATCACGCATGAGCCACTTAGACAGATTCTCTACAGCGTCGGTAGCAGGGGGTGGGAGCTTTCCCTCAGTGTGCAAAAACAGGGAAAAACCATCCTTAGACTCGCTCTGCAGGAACAGCTGGAGATCGTCGAGCCAGACATCAAAGGTAATCGCGCGGCCCTCAGCATCGAACGTAAGAACTGACAGGTTAGCCATAGCAGCAGTAGTTGCAGCAGCAGCAGTGACAGCTCGGGTTGGGCGGCGCGGCTCGGACTCAGTGGCGGAGCAGCAGCGGCAAGCAACAGCAGCAGCCGGCGCTCAGTAGCAGCAGCAGCAGCAAGGAGGAGCAGCTGCAGCAAGTAGCAGCAGCAGCAGCAAGGAGGAGCAGCTGCAGCAAGTAGCACGGGCTGTAGTAGCAGGAGCTTCAGTAGCAGGAGCAGTAGCACGGGCTGTAGTAGCAGTAGCTTCAGTCAGTAGCAGCTGTAGCAAGTGCCGTTGTAGCAGCAGCAGCAGTAGCACTAGCTGTAGCAGCACTAGCTTCAGTAGCAGCAGCAGTGAGTAGCACTAGCTGTAGCAGCACTAGCTTCAGTAGCAGCAGCAGTGAGTAGCGCTAGCTGTAGCAGCACTAGCTTCAGTAGCAGCAGCAGTGAGTAGCACTAGCTGTAGCAGCACTAGCTTCAGTAGCAGCAGCAGTGAGTAGCACTAGCTATAGCAACACTAGCTTCAGTAGCAGCAGCAGTGAGTAGCACTAGCTGTAGCAGCAGTGACGTCAGTAGCAGCAGCAGTGACAGCTCGGGCTGGGTAGCGCGTAGTAGCAGTAGGCGCGCGTGGGCTGTGGGCGTGCAAACCAGGGGCGCGCAACAGGTGCGTGCGGGGCAGCACTACGAGGAGCGCGCATCAGGTGCGTGCTAGGGGCTGGCGGGCAGCGTGAGTGGCGCGCGCAGCAGCAGGAACGAGGGGGCGACCGGGCGTAGGGGCTGACGGGCCGCGCGAGAGGCGCACGGGGCAGCTAGGGCTCGGTCAGGGGGGTCGCACATGACTAGGAACAGAAAATCGCGTCTAGGCAGAAAAGGGAACCGTCTCGCCTAGGGCACGTTTTCGCATTTCGTGTTTCTCCTAGGGGCGCGACTCGGGCAGCAGGTCGAAATAGTAGTGGTGGGCCCTTTTAAAATTTCGGTCCTAAGGAGCATTGTGCTCTGATACCATGTTAGAATCACTAGCTAGATGAGAAGTGTCGATTAGGTAAGGGGGGGGGTACAAGGACTATCGAGAGAGATTGTTGTACCCTCTAAGGAAAGAACCCTACACAACCTAGAGTGAAATAATGCAGAAGAATATGTTTTGACAGAAACCTAACCCTAAAGTGTTGTACTCACTAAGGAGTGACCCTACTGTAGCCTAGAGATACAATTGTAATCTGACAAGCACAGGCGTTTGTGTCATAGCCACGTAATTACCGACGAGTACGTCAATTGTCGACTTAGCAAGAGTATGAAATGTAGTAATACGTGGCCTGGTAGCGCAGTGCCAGTTTCCCCTCGTTTATCTCCCCTCGCTGCTCGTCGCACTCGCCATTGCTAGTGGGGTCCGCCGTCGCCTCGTTCTCTAGTCCGTCCCGTCGCCTTTCCGTCGCCTTTCCGTCGCCCTCGCAAACACACGCGTGACGGCTCTCCCGTCGTCCTCACGGTCTCCCCTCCCGTCCCGTTATTCCCCGTTCACCCCTCTTGTCCCCTCGCCCTCGCGATTTCCCTCTGATCCCGTCGCCCTCCCGTTCTCTCGCCCCTCGCCTTCAATGTCCCCTCTTCCTTCCCGTCGCCCTTGCGTTATCCCTTCCTCCCCTCGCCTTCGATGTCCCCCCTTTCCTTCCCGTCGCCCTCACTATCTCCCTTCCCTCACGTTGCCTTTTCCTTCCCGTCGCCCTCGCGATATCCCTTCCCCCTCCCGTCGCCTGTCCGCTCACGGTCCCGTCGCCTGTCCGCTCTCCCCCGCCCTCGCGATACCCCCTCCCTTACCGTTCCAATTCCCGTCGGCCCCTCTCTCTTCTCTCGAGTCACCTCGTCGTTCTTCTGTTTGCTACTTTAGTACATCACCCTGTGTTATTCGTTAGCTCAACATTGTGTGTATGCTGCGTGTATGGTGGCATGTTCCGTTGTGAAATTTGTGAGTGTTGTGCTCGATGCGGATATGGATGGGTGGGAGAAGTGGAAATGTCATAGCAACCTTGCGACAATTTTGTGCATGTTGCGACTGATCGTATCAGGAATCGGAAACAACTTCAAATCGGTCTTGTTACTACTTGGGGACTTGCCCTGTTCGGAAAAAAATACACCAAACTTTCTGGAAATTTTCATGAGCTTTCTAGTGGACCCAACTAGAAGGGGGGGGTCACTATTTTAGCTGCTGGCTTTAATGAGAAGGCATTCCTGTACGCTGCAGGAGCCGACTTTACCGAGTACGAAGTAGAGGAGTACAGTCTAAACAACACCAGCAACCGTCAGATTAACACCGATGCAGGCACAATTAAGGTAAGTCCTCTAAATACAGCAACATCTGGTTGTCAAATTGCATTTGTTATCTCTAGGTTGTAGTGGGGCATACCCTAAAGGGTACAGCACTTTTAAGTTTAGGTAGTACCTACCTGTAGTCATCCTTGCTACCTAGTCCATCATTCCTACGTTTTATTTCTGATATTGGTTTCTATTACCTTGGAGTTTCTATCGCGATCCTTGGGGGTCAGTCCGTGGGGTCCCTGTGGATCCAGGTCCCTGGAGTTTGCTGGGGATCCCCAAGGACCCCTGGGGTCGCCTTGGGACATGCATTCCAAATGTCAGTGAGTACTAGCAGTCCTCACTTTCAGAGCTTTGTTTGAGCACCTATACTTTACAAACCAGCCAACTGCAGCTGGCAATTGTACGGTATGTCTACCATGCACCTGGCAGTCCTAATCAGACGTCCTTAATAGATAGTCTAAATGTCCTGCACGACTTGACGGCTTCATGCGCTGAGAGGAACAGCCACTCCTCCCCCAGCACCTCTAGAAACCCGGACGCAACGAGTTTGCGCAGCACCATGCGCGACGGGTTGCTGATGCCCAGCTGCACGCCCTGCTTGGACAGCAGCCCGTGCAGCTCCTGCAGCGCGTGCGTGCCCGTCGTGTCTATGTCCGCCACGGGCGTGAAGTCCAACACGAAATGCTGCACAGGGGGGAGAAGGATCCACGCACAGAGATTGGAGGCAGGGGGCAGGGGGCAGGGGGCAGGGGCCAAGGGCAGGAAGAGGTGAGAAGGGCTGCGGTGGAAGAGTGCTCAGAGAATGCGAGTGCTGAGCTCTTGAGAGCCCACACGAGGAGGGAATTGTGAGCACTGAGCTAGTGTGGCAACAGAGGGGCGCACCTCACCGTTGGCACAACAGAGGGGTGAACAGGCGGGCGGGGGAATCCCCAAGGGTGGGGCGCGGGCATAAGTGCGGGGCGAGAACAACTTACTGTGATGCTGTCGCCGTTGTGGTCGTCTCTGTACGCGTCGGCGAGCGAGAGCACCTTCTCGCGCACGTAGTTGGCGTTGGGGAAGTAGAGCGGCCCGTCCACGCGCAGCACGAACACGCCCTCCGTCACCTCCGCCTGCAGGTACTGCTGAATGTTGCGATACACGCCCGTGCCCGGCACCAGCCCCAGCGTCGCCAGGTGCGGCCGCGTGATCTGCACGAGAATCTTGAGCATGGACAGGCACACGCCCACCAGCAGCCCCGTCTCCACTGAGTCAAACAGAATGCCCAGAAACGTGCCGAGCGCGACAACGAAATCGACTTTGTCGGCCTTCCAGATCTTCCAGATGGCCTCGTAGTCCAGCAAGCCTAGCACCGCGTTGATGATGATCGCCGCCAGCGTCGCGTTCGGCAGGTACTGGAACGCGGGGGTGACCCACAGCAGCGTGATCATGACGACGAACGACATCACGATGTTGGTGAGCATGGTGGCGCCGCCCGCGTTGTAGTTGACTGCGGAGCGCGAGAACGACCCCGTCGTGACGTAGCTTGATGTGAACGACCCCGCGATGTTCATCGCGCCCAGCGCAATCATCTCCTTGTTCCCGTCCACGTGGTAACCCTGTAACGCGGCGAACGTCCGCGCGATCGCCGACGCTTCCGTGAGCGCGACGAGCCCCGAGATGAGCCCCACGACGGCGGCGTCCGCCGCGTCCTGCCCCGACAGCTGCAGCTTGCCCAGCGACCCCAGCCCCGCCAACCCCTTCTGCATCTTGCCCACCTTGGGCACGGGCGCGTTCGTCAGCCACACGGCGAGCGTCGACACGATAACGGCCGTCATGGGCCCCACGCAGTTGAGGTAAAAAAATACCTTGCTGACCACCTTGCGGCCCTTGAAGTGGTGCGCCAAGAAGCGCAGCGTGAGGAGGAAGGTGAGCATGGACATGCCGATGAGGAACGCGCGCCAGTTGAACTGGTCCGTGTTCTGAAAGACGTACTCGAGCACCGACACGATGTCCGTCGCCTGCGTGAACGACGTGTACCCCAGCAGCCCGCGCAGCTGCTGCAGCGCGATCGTGATCGCCGCGCCCGCCATGAACCCCACGATCACGGCGTGGCTCATGAAGTCGATCACGAAGCCCAGGCGGAAGATGCCCATGGCGAGCTGGTAGATGCCCGCGAAGAAGGTGGAGGTGATGGCGAGGTTCAGGTACTGCGCGGGCTGCGTGTCCGAGTCGTAGTACTTGGTGAGCAGGTCGCCCAGTAGGAGCGACACCACCGCCACCGGCCCGATCGCGATGTGCCGCGACGTGCCCAGTACCGCGTATATCAGCGGCGGAACGAAGCTGCTGTCTGCAGGGGGGAGAAGGGAGGCGAAGAGGGGAGTCGCGGAGGGGACGTGGCGGAGTAGGAGAAGCGGGAGACGGTAAGAATGTGTTTTGAAGGAGTGGGTGGAGGGGCGGCGCTTGAGAAAGAGGAACCATGGCGGAAAGCGACGCGAGAGTCGAACCAGCTGTTGGCAACCGGGAGGAGGTTCAATGCGACCACAGTCCAGCGGGGGGAGGCAGAACGAAAATAAACTGAACGAGAGGTGCTTACAAAGACCGTTGATGGGCGGCAGCTTGGCGAGCTTCGCGTATCCCAGATCCTGCACGGCGAGGCGACAACAGGGACGAGAGGGCGGAAAACGTTGAGGCGATGGTGGAGAGGAGCGCAGCGGGCGGGAGGAGCGCATCCGCATTGAGCAGTAAGTCGCATTCAAATCGCGGGAATGATGCGGGAGAGTATATTCTAAGGCTGGCGGCGACGCTGACCTGGGGGACGGCGAGACTGGCGATGGTGAGGCCCGCGACGACGTCGCCGAAGAGGTTGGCGAGCTTGTAATTCGAGACCCACTCGAGGATGGGGAACACGTAGAACAGCGCCATCTTCGCGCGCTGCGCCGCCGTCTTGCCGCGGTACGTCTTGAAAGGGTCGCTGTCGATGACCATGAGCTGCTTCACCGGCGCGAACGTCTCCTTCAGCTCGTCCTTGATCGACGCGTGCGGCACCATCACCTGGTGCTCGCGCGACAACGGCGGCTGCTCGTCATTCACTGCCTCGATCGACGCACCCATGGCGGTGCTTCTGTGGTGTACCTCTACTGCGGTGTACCTCTACTGGTAGAAGGACGAAAGCGTCAAGACGTGCGGAAAGTCGTATGTGGCGGAGCTAGGCTAGAAAACTAATCTGTAACACACTACGGAGCAAATAATGCAGCAACTACTGGAATCTGGAATGAGGAACGATTATCTTGTGAGGCTGCCTTATCTTTCAACTACTTGTGGCCAGAAGAGATACTGTACGAGGAGGACCAGGAGCGAGGACTGGTGCTGACAAGCTCCTGTTAGAGCAGAGGGAACGCGCGGATTCCGTCCGAAACGAGTCCAGATCAGACGCAAGGGGGGAAAGAGGCTTGGGACTGGGTATCCGCTGCGCGCAGGCAACATCGCGAATGGAGCGGACAAAGCTTATCGCGAAGCTGGCTTTGGTTTGCCTCGACAGGACAGGTGCGGGGGTCTTGGGGCTACATCGCGCGCGCCGGAGTTCTAGGCAGTGTGGAGTGGAGAGAAGCTGGCCTTGTGCACACCAAACCATGAAAACCACGCACCGCACCGCAGATTGCACCACCCTCTCCGAACAAACCCCTGCCCAAGAAAACGCGGGGACCAGGAGCCAAGCAAACTGCACAGAACGAGGCCAGCAGCGCAAAAAATGGCGGTGGCCTGAACAAAGGTTTGGGGGAGGGAGGGAAAAGTGGTGGTGCGCGGGGAACGTGCGGGCAGGCTTGGTGTTCAGGCAGCCACCAAACCAATTGGCTCGACCCCTAGCCACACTTGAGCCCTAGATGTGCGGGATTCGAGGCGCGGGGATATGAGGTCGTCAGCCACCGAACCAATAGCATGCCGAGCTAGAAAGCTCTCCATTCCGAAAAGGAGCCACCAAGCGAACCAAAGCAGCCATGCATTGTGGCTGCTGAATTCATCCGTGTTGGGGGAACACGTGGTTGGTGTGGCGAGATGTGCGGCTCTGCCTCTGGTCGAGACGCCAAACGGTCTGATTCAGTGTTTCAAGACAATGGCCTACAGTGACCAGATTCAGTGTGTCGAGTCTTCAGCTTTGTAACACCCGTACTGTACATTGTTTCAAAGACTGCTAAACAACCACTTGGTTGGTAAAATCTCAAAGAACAGTGTGTGGTGAAGCTCATGTTTGCCAATCTCAAAGAAACAGAACCATTACTTCGTATGAAAAAAAAAACTAAGCCTGAAGGTACAACTGCAAATGAGTATTTACAAGACGCTGATCGGATACGAAAAGCAAATAGTGCTAGCAAAGCATGTCATATTGCAACTGCTGCATCTACTTCTGTGTCTGTGCGAACAACTATAGGCCCCACTCTCTTCCACCCTGCCCCCTTTTCTCCTCGGCAGTGAATGCATTCAGCAATGCTGAAGATGGTGTGTGGCGTGGTTCGGCAGCAGCCGCCCAGCACTGCCGCCCCGGCGTTCACCCACTCAGGGGCGTACGATACAAAGCCATCATCGCTCAGCCCACTGCATGGCTGCACGGAGGGAGACACGTGGCAAGTCCCAAGGGGGAATAGAGGAGGATAGGGTGCTAGCGCGTGAAAAGGGCGAGGGACGTGTGTAAGGGAGATCACTTATCACAGGGCTCAAGGGATGGACGGAGAGTGAGGCGAGTGGATCGGTGGGTGATGGAGCAGTATGCAGCAGTAGAGAACGGGAGAGAACAGCAGAGAAGAGCAAAGCAGAGCAGAAAATAGCAGGGAGAGGAGAGGAGCAGAGAGGTGCAAAGCGGAGCGGGGCAGAGCACGCACCACCCATTCCTTGTTGATGCCGTCCCACGCCTCCCCGCTGTTGGGATACACCACCAGCGGCTTCAATGTTTCCTGCCATGCGGGCAGACACGGGCAAGAGAGGAAAGGGAGGAAGGAGAGGTAAGCGAGGAGGGGCGTGTTGATGCCGTCCCACGCCTCCCCACTGTTGGTGTACACCACCAGTGGCTTCGATGTCTCCTGCCATGTGGGCACGCATGCACAAGGAATGGAAGGAGGGGCAAAACAGGACGGGCTTGTTGATTCTGAACTGTCTGCCTACTGCCCAAGGTAATGGTTACTCCGTTTCCTCATGTTCAGGGGTGTTTGAAATGCGTAACATGGCACAGCAAAACCGGAACAGCACCGCTCCCACCCTCTTCCGCCTCACCTTCCGGGCGGCATGCAGCAGTGGCAGGATGAAGCGGGGCGGCGTGCAGTTGATCCCGACCGCCACCACGTGCGGGCTGGCAGCGGCGGTGGCGATGCAGGCGGAGAAGAGGTCGCCTGACGGTGCCGTGCGGCCGTCCTTGCTGTTGAAACTGATCCACGCCGGCACTGCTGCTGCCAAGCCTGAGGCGGCCTGCTCCTCCAGCAGCTGCACCAGGGCCTGTGAGGGGGGGAAGGGGGAGAGGAAGGGGAGGAGTGGGGTGGGGAAAGTTGAGAGGGTGGCGATGCAGGCTGAGAAGAGGTCGCCCGATGGTGCCGTGCGGCCGTCCTGTGCGGGGAGACAGAGGGAAGAGGGTGTAGGAGGAAGGGGCAGAGGGCGGTGAGGAGAGTTGGGAGGGTGGCAGTGCCAAGGAGATGAGATGCACTGAGGAGAAGGAGTGCATCAGCATGGTGTAGGAGTGACGAATCATGGCACGCCGTGAACGGAACGCCATGTGACATCGTGTGGTAAGGCATGGTATCGCAAGGACATGGCACCACATGACATGGCATGTGGCATGGCAAGGCATGGTGTGTACCTGAGCCTCGATGTGGCACGGGATGGTCTCCATGGCTATGATGTCCGGCCCTGCTGCTGCCAACACCTGCTCCCCCCGGCAAGGCGGACACAGCACGGACGACACACCACCAGGGGCGCCGTACAGGGACGGGACACACCATGTGTGACACAGGCGCCACAGCAAGGGGCGGCACAGCAAGGGCGGCACAGCAAGGGCGGCACAGCAAGGGGCGGCACAGCAAGGGCGGCACAGCAAGGGCGGCACAGCAAGGGGCGGCACAGCAAGGGCGGCACAGCAAGGGGCGGCACGACATGGGACAGCATGAGCTGAAGAAGAGCTTCAAAGGAATACCAGAGATATGTGAACGTTGGGAAGCAGATGAGAAGCAACATGAATGTCCTCACATGCAACTTGATAGCAGAACGAACACTGGGCATAGCATGGTACGGCACGGCACGGCATGGCACGCACCTGCAGTCTGCGGCGGTGGAAGGCCATGAGTCGCTCCACTGTCATGTCCGCTCCGTAGTCGCCACTGCAGGGGGGCACAGGCGGGCGGGTCGCGGGATACCAGGACACGGGACACATGTGTTCCCCGTGCAAGCATATGAGACACAGTACGGATGAGCGCGGTGGAAGGCCATGAGGGTCGCTCCACTGTCCGCACCATAGTCGCCACTGCAGGGAGCACAAGGGCGGGCCGCAGATCACGAGCCGCATGTCTTCCCAATGCAAGGATGAGGCGCAGGGAGCATTGATTCTTCACCGCATCCCACTCTCAAGCTTGCCCCAGACCCGTGTGTACATGTGAGCGTTCCTTGATAACCCAACTCTGGTTTTGAGCCCTCAAAGCCTGTGCTTCTGGCATCACCCCTTCCTGCTCGCACTCCTCCCCACTTCTTCCCGCACCCACGTGCACCCACGTGCACCCCACCCTCACTCCACCCCACTCCACCCTCACCCTAGCCCAACCGCACCCGCATCCCACCCACCTGTACTCGGAGCCGTCCGCGAGGAACGCGCCGTAGCTGCCGACGGACGCCGCCACCAGCGGCTTCACGCGCCCCGCCACGCGCTCAACGCCGCCCTCCGCGCGCTCCACCCGCTCCCCCCTCCGCTCCGCCTCCGCGCAGTACTGCGCCCAGAAGCGGTCCCGCGCCTCCCCCACCAGCTGCACGCTCCGCGCCAGCAGCGCCTCAGCCTGCCCCTCCGACAGCCCGCGCGCCGTGAAGCCCTCTATGGTCGCCTGGGGGGCACCGAGGTGCGGGCACGAGTGGGCGGACGGGACAGAGAGGGGGAGGGCAAGGAAGAAACAAAACGGGCGGCGGAAAAAGAAAATACATGCTAAGAAAGTGGAACGAGCCTATTAAGATTGACCAAGCAGCTCGGAGAAAATCACGGTAGATCCAGAGAAAGATGAGGTGGGATGCGAGGATCGGGTGGACGATGTCGTAATATTAATGCTGAGTACTTTTATTGTTTAGACACGTGGTAGGTAGTGACACGTGGCGAGTAGTGACAGATTTTTTAGCAGCCTCGTGTTTTTGCGAGCTGGCGCTACTTGCCTAGAATAGCAGCACTTGCCTGATGTGGCAACTCAAAGAGCTACAGCACCCGCACCTGGTACGACGCGGAGATGGAGATATCGGCGCCCGCGCGGTAGTAGTCCAAATGAACCTGCGCGCGCCGATGGGGGGTAGTGGATGGGGGCGGCGGAGGTGGGGCGAAATGAGGGGCAGATGAGCGTTTGGCTGGTACGGGTGAGAGTCGGGCGGCACGGGGGAACCATCACTCGCCGCTTTTGGCAGTCTTTCAGCCGCAACACGGACAACCGACGACCTCTGCTGCAAACGCGTCACGCCTGTCGTTCGTTCGAAACGATGCGGGCACGCGCTCACTGCACGAGACATCTACAGCCGTGGCCGCCTCAGAATGCATCGCCACTCGCCCCTCGCAAATCCCGACTACAACCAAAAATCGCCTGTTGCCAATCGCAGCCCACCTTGCGAACGAGGCTGGAAGCTTCCTCCTCCATGAGGCACTTGGCGGACCAGAGCGGGTCGTTGAGGTCCGCGCCGCGCAGCTCCAGCTCTGTCGCCAGCCCGCCGTCCAGCACCGCGCACCCGCCGCGCGCCGCAATCACCGCCGCAAGCAGCCCGTACTTCTCCGCCATTCCCCCGCCGCTCGTATGCGCACTGCGGCTTCCGCCGGGGTCCGCGTGCTGTTGCGCTTGCGAGTCGTTTCCCCCAAAGCTTCCGCCGGAATGAACGGCAGACGCCGCTGCGGCACGGAAGGTCCCGGGAGCCATTCGCGCAGTTTGCGAAAGAGGTTTGATGGTTTGCGTGAAAGAGGAGACTAGATTACGAGGCGCGACGCGAGATGATGATAGCGAAGAAGAGTCAACGAGAAAGTGCGGAGGAGGTCGAGAAAGCGTCGTCATAAGAGAGCGGCGAGGAGCAAGAAACGGTGAGGATGAGGGAAGCGAGAGACCACTGAGGGTGTGCAACAGAGTTCACGAGTGGGCGGGCTGTTGAGAGCTTTGGTGCGAGCCGAAGCGAAACGAGCAAGTGAGAAAGCCGAGTGTGTGTGGAGTGTGTGCAGGGGAACGTTGGTGATGGCGGGGTTGCGGCATGTGCGACACCTGGGGTGCTGTGATCCTGTTCGCATTCGCATATTCATTCGCATATGCATTTCCCTCTCCCGCTCCCTACCCGCCGCGACTTTAGTCAGGCCGAAGATCCAACCAGAGGCGATGGAATGCGAGGGAATTGACGGTGCGATCGTGACTAGAGGGAATCGGGGGTTCGATGGCATTGCTGCGCTGGACTGGGTGTTTGGCCACGCGCTCGAGCTCGCTAACACGTCAGACGAGCTGATTTGCTGACAGCTGGACACGGGAACTGACAGAAGCTTTCAACAACCGTTTGCACACAAGTTCATTGAGCCAGAAAGCAGTCCACCCAGCGAGGCAAGAGCGACACAGAGAATGTGGACTCTTGGGACCCGACCGTGAAACGACCTTCCGGTCAGTGATCCAGGAATGCTTCCTCGGGTCGCTGAATCACATACGCGGGAAAAGGTCCTCCGCATGTGGTGCTCCGTCTCTGGACACCCCAATTTTATAGTCCACATTCGAGGCCCCAGATTGCCGCCTATGCATAATTGTAAATGAACTCTAAGTTTGAATAAATTGACATTGGTTCCAATGTATGCATTTGCTTCAAACTTTTAGGAGATTGAAGCAGATGTGAATGTGCTAGTCTCATTCAGTAGTCACACTACCACTGTTTCTAAGCTAAACCCTTCAATCATTTGGACTGCGTGAAACCAAAACACATGACTAACGCTGCATTCAGGCCCTCAGATTGGTTTGAGGGTATGCTGATGGATCAGCGTGCCCCGGCCAACGAGGTGTCCAAATCAGCGTTCACGGTTTTTTTATACTGATTTTGCCAGTGTAAAAATCATAAGTAAAGTGAAACAACAGTGTAAAAAGAATAACTATAGCTGAAACACCAGTACAAGGTGTGTGGTGTTGTTGCTGTGATAGGTTATAGCGAGGCTAAACACTTCGGTGCGAACCTGATATCTGTGCAGCGCAAGTGTGTGGGTGGGGTTTCGTGAATCACGGGAAGGTACTGACTGTACACGCGTACCCTATCCTCCCCCCCCCCCCCCCCCCCCCACGCGGTCAAGTCCGTTTCAGTGTGACTCACGTCACTATACTGATTCGTCAGTGCTACTTGTACAGCAACATGCAAAATGGTCAGTGTGGCAAAGTAAGTTATACTGAAATTTCAGTGCAAAATTTACGCATATGCTGAATTTTCAGGGAAAACGAAAATCACAGCTACAAAATCAGCCTAATCAGCGTGTTTTACGCTGATATCTGAGGGCCTGGCTGCGTTGTTGAGATGTTACGCATTCTTAGGGAGTGCATTTCAACTGCAACACGATTGCCACATCAGCACCAGGATACGATGTGACAACCTTCACTTGCGCATAGCAAAGAGCTCAGGAGGCCCCGCAGAGGCAGGGGAGGCGGGCATGAAAGTGCGGGAGGCGAGCGCTGCAGGCTTGTTGGAAAACGCTCCGAAGCCCCCTCCTGCACCCGTGATGATGATGATGGCACATGGTGGTGTGGGCACAAGCATGGGGTCATGGGTTATGGGGTGTGTGGGGTCATGAGATCATGGGTTAGGCAAGGAAAAGGAGTACATGTAAAAAGCACAAGGAAATGCATGAATGCGGAACGAGGCAAGCACGTGTGAGTCATGCGTCAAGTAACTGGTTTGGGTTGCAACTGGGTTGCACAACCAGACGCCACGCACCTCCCTGGGCGGCACCAGCAAAGCCGCTACCTGGCGTCAACCCAGCGAATGGAGACACAGCTGGCGCTGCCGCAGATAACTGGGCAGCAGCCCCAAACGCAGGGGCACCTGAAATGTTTCGCGTCTGCCCGAACGCGCCCAGAGCGAAGCCAGTCCCTGAGCTGGGAGAGGTTTGGGCAGCAGCAGGGGCAGCAGAAGCCCCGAAAGGGGAGGAGGGGGAGGCAGGGAAGGCAAAGGGCCCAGCAGTAGAGCCGAAGGGGCGAGGGGCGGCTGGAGAAGGGGTGCCGAGAGAAGAGGGAGCACCGAAGGGGGAGGAGGAGGCAGGGGAGGAGGATGAAGCGGCAGGGAGTGCGAATGAGGCCGGTGCAAAGAGATTAGGAGAGGTGCTGCTGGCGCCAAAGGCAGGCTGGGAGGCCAGCGAGAAGGCAGAGGCAGAGGCGGGAGAGGCGAAGGCAGGGGCGCCGAAAGGAGAGCCTCCAAAGGGATTGGCAGGGGTGGTGGAGGGGCGGGGAGCAGAGGAGCCAAATCCCAGCGAGGCAAATGCGCCTGTAGCACTGGTGGGTGGTGCTGTGGCCGCTCCTTGCTCCTCCTCCATCCCCTCATCGTCCCCTCCTTCCCCCCCTGCTGCCATGGGGGCGGGCTGAGGGGAGGGGGACCTGGGGGGCTGGAAGTGGGAGGAGTTGGACAGAGGGGCTGTTGGTAACGCAGAGGCGGGGGAGGAAGGGGCGAAAGGAGATGACTGAGTGGCGAAGGGAGAGGTGAAGGATGGGAAGGCAGCGGCTGGGGCAGCAGCAGAAGCTGTGGCTGCTGTTGCTGCTGCTGCTGTAGCTACGGCTGCTGGTGTGGTGGTTGCTGGGGAGGAAGTGGATGAAAAGGTGGTGGATGGAGCAGCAGCAGAAGCGGCAGCACTAAAAGGGGCAGCAGCAGCAGCGGTGGTGGGGGTGACCGCGGCAGGGGCAGCAGTGGAAGGAGGGGTGAGCGGCTTGGAGGAGAAGAGGGGTGTGGTGGTGGAGAAGAGCGGAGGGCGAGAGGTAGGGGCAGCGCCGGAGGAGAAAGGGGAGGAGAAGGAAGGGAGAGCAGAGGAGAAGCCAGAGAGGGGAGAGGACGGGGTGGGGGAGGGTGGTGCAGCAGCAGTGGATCCTGCTGATGGGGCCATGGCTGTAGCATTCGCACTCGGCTTAGCAGCAGCGGCAGCAGCTGAGGCAGAGGTTCCTGACGCTGCTGTGGCTGTGCCTGTGCTGGCAGCACTGGTGGCGGCAGCAGCAGTAGAAGCAGTGGCAGGGGGAGTGGCAGTGGGTGCCTTGAGGGCCTGTTTGGGAAGCTGGAAGGGGTTGCTGGCCTGGGAGAATGGCGAGGTGGAGGAAAATGGGGAGGCCGAGGAGAACGGGGAGGTTGAGGAGAATGGTGAGGGGGAGGAGGAGAAAGGGGAGGAGGAGAAGGGAGTGGAAGAGAACGGGGAGGCGGTTGCACTGGTGGTGAAGGGGGATGGCTTGGTGGCCTGTGCAGTGAAGGGCGAGGGGGAGGAGGAGGGGGAGGAGAAAGGAGAGGAGAATGAGGAGGTGGGTTGTGAGGAGGAAGCAAAGCCAAAGGGAGAGGAGGAGGGTGGCTTGGAGGCAGCTGAGAGAGAGGGAGCAGCGAGAGCTGAAGCTGCTGATGCTGCCCCTCCTGTTGCTGCTGCTGGTGTTGGCTGTGTATGTGAGGAGGCGGGTGAGGGGCTGAATAGGGATGGAAACGGGGACATGGTGGGCTTGGCTGTTGTTGAGAAGAGAGGAGCAGCACTGCCAGCACCAGCAGTACTTGCCCCTCCTGCCCCCCCTGCCATGCCTGCTGCTGTTGCTGCCGGCTTCTTGCCGGCTGCAGGGGCTGTTGCAGCAGCCGAGGCGGCTGGGAAGGGGGCAGGAGAGGAGACAGCAGCGGGGGTGGGGGAAGGGGAGCGGGAGCGGGAGGTGCCGGCAGGGGCAGGGGATGCGGTGCGGGCAGGTGGGGAGGGAGAGCGAGCGGGAGGGGAGAGAGAGGCAGAAGCAGAAGCAGATGGGGCGGGGGAGACGGGCTTGGATGGAGGTGCAGCTGGTGTGTGTGTCTCTGTATCCCTGTTGGCTCTGGCTTTCGGCCTCATCTTCATTCTGGGTGCTGCCGGTGACCGTGTGGCAGCCGCACGTGCTGGTTCTGCTCTTGCTGTTGCTGCTGCTGTTGGTGCGAGTGCTTCAGCACGGCCTGGGCGGGGGAAGCGGGGAGAAGGGAGGCGGAGGGAATGCAGAGGAGAGAGGGAGAAGGGTCGGTTGGCTTGTGTGGCAGGGTTGTAGCAGCCGTGCATGGATGCATGAGCTTGTGATGTGATGTGGGTCCACAGTGTGGTATGACAGCAAGTCGCCAATGCTGCAGCCTGGTTATCTGAGTGTATGAGAAGGGCCTTGGATTCATGACAGCAAATGGCGCACAAGAAGGGTTCAAGGGAAAAACGGAAGGCAGCGTGACGGCAAGGCAGCAGCAGAGAGGCAGCAACCGCATCAGCAGCAGAAAGAGCAGAAGAAAGCAGGCTGGCGCATACCTGAAGGGAGGGGGGTAGGTAAGCCCAAAGAGGAGAGCCCCGGGAGGGGGCGCTTGGGGGTGGGGGAGGAGCGGGAGGGCGACGAGAGGAGATGCAGCGGGAGAGCCTGGAGCAGGGGGAGGGTGGGGGGAGGGAGAGGGATGAGAGGAGTGGGCAGTCATGAGAGGCTGTGCGGCAGTGTGAGCTGGGGAAGTGCTATAGCAGCTGGTTTCTGGGCAAACCAGGTGGGGATGTGTTAGAGCAGCAAAGAAGAGCACAAGTGGGAGCGGATGCACGGCAATTGCTGCAGGCAGGTAGGCATCGAGGCAGCGGGCATACACACGCCTCCCTTCCATTCTGCCACCTCATGCCCCGTGTCCCTCCCCATCCACCCATCATCCTTCCTCACCCACCTTCCTCGTGGCACCCATGCTGCGCCTAGGCGTCCCCATCGCACCTCTCTCTCCCCTGCCACCCTCCCTCCGCCTTTCCTCCTCCTCCACCCCCTCCCACTCCCTCCCTCCCCCTCTCCCCAACCGCTCTCCAACACTCTCCACCCCCCACTCCTTTGCATCTGCCCTCTTCCCCCTCCTCTCCCCCACCCCATTCTCCTCCCCGTCCCCTTCCTCCTCTTCCCCCACCTCCAGGTCACCTACACTCAGCCCTATCCTCCCAGACGCCCGTCTCTTGCCGCCCCCTTCCCCCTGCCTCCCCTCCCCCCCCCACACGCCCCTTCCCCCTCCTCCCCATCCTCCTCCCCCTCCCCCTCCCCCGCCAGCCTCCAGAGACTCAAGAATCGCTGCTGCTGTCACGGATCCCGTTTTCCCCCGCACCCCCGTCCCCCCATACCCGCCCTTCCGCTTCTCCCTCTCCCCTCCCCGCCTAGCACCCACTCCCTCCCCATCCGGGGCATCCAAAAGGTGGGGAAGGCGCGTGTGGGGGGAGGAACCGGGGGAGGCGCGGGGGGAGCCGTGGCGGCGGGCGCGGGGAGGGGAGGGGAGAGGGGGGAGGGCGAGGCGGGAGCGCAGGAGGGCGGTTTGGTGCAGCAGGTGGGACGCCACTGCCAGCTGCGCGTTCACTGTTGCCGCTAGGGGCGGCCAGGGAGAGACTGGGGGAGCGCTGCAGAGGGGTTGGGGGGAGGGATGGAGGAGGGTGGGGCAGTGGGGAGAAGGGGAGGAAGGGAGAAGGGAAGGGCGGTCTGGTGCAGCAGGTGGGACGCCACTGCCAGCTGCGCGTTGACTGTTGCCGCTAGTGGCGGCCAGGGGGACGGGGAAGAGCTGCTGAGGGGTTGGGGGGAAAGACGGGAGGGGGGGAAGGGGGGGGAAGGGGGGAAAGAGGGAGGTCGATTTGGTGGAGCAGGTGGGAGGCCACTGCCAGCTGCGCGTTCACTGTTGCCGCTAGGCGCGGCCAGGGAGAGACCGGGGGAGTGCTGCAGCGGGTGCTGAAGGGGGGAGTGGGGAGAGAGCGGGGGGCGGAGGGGGGAAAGGACGGGAAGGATGGATGTGAGGGGAAGGGAGGGGGAAGGGGAGGAGGCACAAGAGGTGGAGGGAGAGCTCATGCAGAGCTGCAAGTGCTTCGACTGGAGGACCACATGGCAGTAGATGAAGGGAATGCAGTGCAATTCAAGGCGCGGTTTTGCTTTAGGTTTAAGGAGAGCTTTGGGTGAATGGCCACGCACCCGTGACGGCCTGCAGCAGCAGCCACGTTGAGCCCACCAAATTGATCGGTGAGTGGTGAGAAATCCTCCTCGCCCCCATACCCCCCACCGTACCCCCCACCTTGCCCCTGCCACATTTCCCCCTGCGCCCTCCGACTAGCCCTGGCCCTCTGCTCTCTCTCCTCCCTCTCCCTGTCACGCTGCTGCTGCCGGCGCCGTGCCTCCTCCTCTTGCGCCATCTGCTGCAGCTCCGCCAGACGCACCCGCACCTCCTGGTGGGGGGAAAGTCGGGTGTGGGGGAGAGGGAGAGAAGGTGCAAAGGTTGAAGAGCTTCCTCTCCCTCTCCTGCTGCCGGCGCCGTGCCTCCTCCTCCTGCGCCATCTTCTGCAGCTCTGCCAGGCGCACCCGCACCTCCTGGGGTGGGGGGAGAGGGAGAGGGGGAGAAGAGAGAGAAAGCGCGGAGAATGAAGAGTTGATTGACTGACAGCGCCGTGCCTCCTCCTCCTGCGCCATCTGCTGCAGCTCTGCCAGGCGCAACCGCACCTCCTGAGGGAGCGGGAGAAGAGGGTGGAGGGGGGGGGGAGAGGGGGGAAGGGGGACGAGGAGGGTGAGAGGAGAGGAGAGAGGAGGCGCAGCAAACAGTACATGTGCCGTGCCGCCTCCTCCTGCGCCATCTGCTGCAGCTCTGCCAGTCGCACCCGCACCTCCTGGAAGGGGGGATGGGAGGGGAGAGGGGAGCGCAGAGAACCAAAAGATTTGACAAGAAGATTGCATTCAAGGGAGGGATGGGAGGACAGGGAGGGCGAGATAAGAGAGGCGCAGAGGGCAAACGAGGAGCAGAGCGGTGGAAAGGGGTGATGCAGGCAGGTGAGGGGTCGAAAGGCTCACCAAAAAGGATTATGAGGGAGGCAGGGAGGGAGAACACACTCAAGACAAGCAAGCAACATCTTAACCGCGTTGGCGCTGCTGCTCCAGCGATGGAGGCAGAGGTGGTCGGCATGCAGCGAGGCGAGTGAGGGGGGTGACAGCAGGCGCCCATCTACTACCTGTACTCTTCCCACCCACCTGTCTGAGGGCGAGCACGCGTTGGCGCTGCTGCTCCAGCGATGGCGGCAGCGGCTGATCGGCATGCAGCGAGGTGAGTGAGGGGGAGGCGAGCAGGCGCACCCAGTGGGACGCCCGCACCACCCTGTCCTCCGCTGGTGTGTGGGGGGAGGTGTGGGGTCGGGGCGGGGGGGTGGGGAAACAGGCAGAGGGAAAAGGGAGGGGACAGGGGAAGGATGAGTAGAAAAAGGGGAAATGGGTGCAAGGAGGCGTATCTAGTGAGTTGCGTGCAGGGGAAGGGGGGCAAAGGGGGTGTGAATCTGGGGAAGGAGGAGGGATGAGAGCTGGTGCACCCAGTGGGATGCGCCCTCCACCCTGTCCCTCGCGGTGACTTTTGAGTCGACTCAAAAGTCACCTGGTGCACCCAGTGGGATGCGCACTCCACCCAGTCCTCCGCTGGTGGAGGGGAGGAGTGGGGGGTACAGGCGCAGGAAAAAGTCGGACTGGAAAGTGCACGACACGGTGTGTGGGAGAGCAATGGGGCGGTGTAGGAGGGAGCACGAGGCGACTAAGGAGCACAACCACCCATTCTCTTTGTCCCAGCGCCCATCTCCCTTTGCAGCAGCCAACCCTTCATTCCAGCACGCCGCCCCCCCGTTCTTTGCATGCACCTTCTCCTCCCAACCCCGCCCTCCCACTCACCCATCAGCTTCCCATCCCTCAGCTCCTCCACCAGCCCTCTCAACTCCTCCACACCGCTCTTAAACCATTTCACAGCGCTCCCCATCTCCCTCACGCGCCCCTCCACCTCCTTCAGCCTCTCCCCCAGCGCCCCCCCCTCCACTGCGCCCTGCACCTCCGCGCTCATCCCCCTCATCTCCCCCATTGCTGCTATCAGCGCCTCTATCACCCCGCCTGCTGCTGCTGCTGGTGGGGAGGACTGCGCAGGGGAGCGTTTGGGGAGCAGCGAGCGGCGCTGGTCGGGGGAGAGAGCGGTGGGGAGGAGTGTGGAGGGGTGTGGGAAGACTGCTTCCGGTTTGGGGATGGGTGGCCGCGCTGCCTCTTCTGGTTCATACCCCTCCCCTTCTTCCTCCTCCTCCTCCCCCTCCTCCTCATACTCCTCCTCATATTCCTCCTCCTCCCCTTCCTCATACTCTTCCTCAGCTTCCTCCCCTTCATATTCCTCCTCCCCTTCCTCATATTCTCCCTCCTCTTCCTCTTCCTCCTCCTCTTCCTCCTCCTCTTCTTCCTCCCTCCCTGTCTTCCCCACCACAAAAGCTCCTCTGGCAGGCAAGCACCTTTCACTTAGTGACCCGGCTCCTGCTGCTCCTGCTGCTGCCACTGCCACACCTGAAACCGCTGCCGCCACAGCAGCAGCACCAGCAGCACTAGCAGCAGCAGCACGGGTGGCAGCAGCAGGGGCGGCGGCAGCAGCAGAGGCGTTGAAAGGAAGGCCTTGCAGAGGAGCGCTCTTAGAGCCGAACAGGGCGAAGGGCGAGGAGGAGGAGGAGGCGGGGGGGGCAAAGGGGGAGGCGGAGGTGGGTGGGGCGAAGGGGGGGAAGGCGGAAGAGGCAGGTGGGGGGGAATCCTTGGCAGCAGGGGCAGCGGGGAAGGGGAAGGGGGAGGCGGGTTTGGAGGTGGAGGAGGGGAAGGGGAAGGGCGAGAGGGGCTTGGAGGAGTCAGGGGGGCGGGAGAAGGGGGCGAAGAGAGTGGACGAGGGCGCAGGGGCGAGGGGGGAAGGGGATGACGCGGGGGGAGAGGCTGCAGCGGCTGCAGGGGGAGCAGCAGCTGTGGGAGGTTCGGCTGGCTTTGCAGGTGGCAGGGCGAAAGGGGAGGCCGGGGTTGGGGACTTGGGGGCAAAGGGAGAAGAGGCACCACCGAAGGGGGAGGCAGCACCAAAGGCAGGGGCAGAGCCAAAGGCAGGTGCAGCACCAAAGGAAGGGACCGAACCAGAACCAAAGGCAGGGGCCGAACCAAAACCAAAGGCAGGGGCAGAACCAAAGGCAGGGGCCGAACCAGAACCAAAGGCAGGGGCCGAACCAAAGGCAGGGAATGCAGAGGAGAAAGGAGCGGGGGAAGTGGAAGGTGGGGAAAACGAGGGGGCAGTGGCAGAGGCAGCAGCAGCGGAGGCGGCAACACCAGCCACAGCAGCAGCAGGGGCAGCAGCAGCGGCGGGGGAGGGGTGCATGAGGCGCTGCAGAAACGGCTGTGAGGCGCCTGGCTTGAGTGACGACGCTGCTGCTCCCCCCGTGGGGGACACCTTCACTGCTGCCGCCCCCACGCCTCCCCCCACTCCCCCCACGCCTTCCCCAGCTGCATCACCGGGCGGCGGGGATGGGCTGCTAGCCGTGTCCTCATCCTCATCCTCCCCCTCCCTCTTCCCCCCCCCCTGGGCCGCCACAACCCCCGGCTGGAGGCGGGAAGGGGGGAGTGCGGGGCGTGAGGGAGGGGGGGGAGTGGCGGGGGGGCTGGAGGCGCGGCTCTGGAGGGAGGCGGTGGGGGGCGAGGGGGGAGCGTGCAGGGAGAGGGAGGCGAGGGGAGGCGGGAGGGGGAGGGGCGGGTGGACAAGGGACGGGCCTTCTAGCTTGTCGAGCCTGCGGTGGGGGAGAGGCGGGGAAAGGGGAGGAGAAGGGAAGGGAAAGGAACTATGAGTAGTCTCAAACAGCCATCGAGAAAATGAGCGTACCTGTTGAAAGGGAGCATTCTAGGATAGGGAGAGCCTACCGGGTGAGGGATAATGCATAGAAGCAGCAGTCGAGGGTGACAGCGAGCAGCAGAGGGGTGGCGGGCAGAGCAGAGCAGAGTGCCTATTGGTGAAGGAGAGAAAGAGCGCCTACCGGGTGAGGGGGAGAGTGAGTGCCTACCGGGTGAGGGAGAGAGTGAGTGCCTACCGGGTGAGGGAGAGAGTGAGTGCCTACCGGGTGAGGGGGAGAGTGAGTGCCTACCGGGTGAGGGAGAGAGTGAGTGCCTACCGCGTGAGGGAGAGAGTGAGTGCCTACCGCGTGAGGGAGAGAGTGAGTGCCTACCGGGTGAGGGAGAGAGTGAGTGCCTACCGTGTGAGGGAGAAGGCGTAGAAGCAGCAGTCCAGCGTGACAGCGAGCAGCAGAAGGGTGGCGGGCAGAGCAGAGCAGCGTAGAGTGCATAGCGCGTGAGGGAGCAAGGGAGAGGAAGAGAGAGTGCGTACCGGGTGAGGGAGAAGGCGTAGAAACAGCAGTCCAGCGTGACAGCGAGGAGCAGAGGCGTGGCGGGCAGAGGCGTGTCATCGTCCCGTGGGTCCATGGGGCTCACCGCGCCCCATGCTGAGCACACGTCCACTGCTGCCCCCACCACCTGGTTGTCGTCCCCACTCTCTGGGAGGAAGGCGCAGGGGAGAGGGCGAGAGGAGGAAAGGAGGATGGGAGAAGTGAGGGAGAAAATGGGGAGGCGTGGCGGCAAGGAAGCACTCAGAGGTGCCACACAGCGACTGTCTACTGCCTCCCCCCCCTGCACGCCCAACCCCTCCACCCATCCCCTTATGGGCCTCACCCTGCTTCTGAATGCACGCCAGCCATCGGTCGTTGGCAATCTCACACACCCGCGCGTTGCCCCACCCCCCGCCCTCCTGCTCCTCCTCTTTCTCCTTGCCCGCAGCGGAAGAGGAAGGTGCGGGGAACCATCCGAGCACGTTCACGTGGTAGTCCCTGCTGCGCTGACACACTGCCACCGCCACCTGCCTGCTCGACCATGGTCATGTGCAGCACACACAGACACACAAACACAAAGAGAGAGGGAGGGTGAGGTGGGGTGGGGGCATGCCGGCATGGAGAGCGAAGGCCAACATAAGAATGCCATGGGTGGGGCCCCTGGTAGCTGCGGAATCCACATGCAAATGGAACAAGACGCAAGGCATGCAGCAGTGACCAAAGGAGCAGGGACACAGCACGCACCACTGCTGCAGCGTGGCCAGTAGCATGCCGCCACCTGGCACGTCCTCAACGCCTGCAAACGCCCCCTCCAGTTGCCGCACCTGCTTGCTGCTCGCCTCCTGCTCGGACGGCCCACACAGGCGCACCACGGGACGGGACGTGGGTTGAAAGGGCGAGCAGGTGCAGGGTGAGAGACAGTACGGGAGGTGCTGTGTTGCTGAGTCGACTCTGAAGTAAATGCGCTAAGGAACACACACAGTGCTGCAGGCTCGGCAGTGCTACAGGCAACCCTCCAGCCGTGCATGGCAGTGGTGCAGGAGGGAGGGCATACCCCGAGCACCCTGAACTTGAAAGTACCTCGTGCAGGTTGCCGTGCAGCGAGGAGAGGCAGAAGAGCGAGCGCACGGGCTCCCCAAAGTCCTCGTCCTCCGCCTCCCCCTCCAGCAGCAGCGCATTGGGCGCCACCCAGCGCACTGACGTCACTGATGCACACGGGCAGCGCAGACAGGCAGAGCAACACGTGCAGCGAGCACACACGCAGTGCAAGAAACAAATCATCACGTGCACAGTGAGAGTAGCAGCGCGTTGGGCGCCACCCAGCGCACCGATGTCACTGATGCACGTAGACAGGGCAACAGAGCAACACGTGCAGTGAGCACAAAACATACGTCATGGCATGGAGGCAGGGCAGCACAAGCAAGCAAACTGTATGGCGGGAGAAAGGTAGGCATGCACGGGGAAGCACACACCCGAGTCATAGAGCAACGACCGAGGAACGGCGACAGTGCAGTGAGAGAGAAGGAACGAGCACTTGGGGATGCGAGGGTGCTCTCACCCGAGGGTGCTCACACCCGAGGGTGCTCTCACCCGAGGGTGCTCTCACCCGAGGTGGGGCAATCGCCGAGGGGGGGCAGCGCGAGGGAGAGCGAGAAGAGCGGCTGCAGCAGGTCGGAGTGGAAGGTGAGGCGCGCTGAGGGGGAGCAGACGGCCAGGAACATGCCGCAGGGGCTCCACGCGGCTGAGAGGGGGGGGAGTGGGGGGGGAGTGGGGGGGGGTGTTTGAGGGAGGTGTGAGTTTGACAGCACCTGTTACCGCACAGCACCTCCAGGAGAGCACTCGGCCAGGAACATGCCGCATGGGCTCCACGCGGCTGAGAGGGGGTGATGGGGGAGGGAGGTGTGGGGTGGGAGTGAAGGTCAAGGCACTCAGTCCCCTCACAGCACATCACAGCACCTCACAGTGGAGTGGAGCACACTTCCAGGAACATGTCACACGGGCTCCACGCGGCTGACAGGCGTGAATGGGGTGGGCAGGGGTGAGGGAGGTGTTGGGACGACAGCACGAGGTTAACAGGTACCTCACAATACCTCACAGCACGTCACAATACCTCACAGCAAGCTGTGTTGGGACGGCAGCAAGGGGGCAAGGCACACAGGCACCTCACAGCAACTCACGGCAACATTCAGGAAGAAGAAGAAGAAAAAAATAAAAAAAATAAAAAAAAAGCGTCTACAGACAAAAGCGGCAGGTGCAAAAGAGTTCAACAAGGGACGTGTAAAGGAAAGAAGGCAGAGAGTTGAGCCCAGCAAGGGATGTGCAACAAGAGATTGGCACGCATACCAGCAGCAGCGCCATCAGCAACGAGCTTGAGTGCCGCCTGCCCCACGCGTCCTGCCAGCACCACCCCCCCCTCCGTGCGCATCATAAAGCTCCCCGCCACCTCCGGATTCCACCCCCACTCCGCCACGCGCGCGCCCTCCTCCCCCTCTCCGCCCCGTCCCGCGGCCTGCAGGGCGTCCGCCACGTGCACAGTGTGCAGGGGCGCGGGGGGGCTCTCCATGCGCGCTGCTGCGCCGCTCGCCTCCGCCGCCTTGCACGCCGTCCCCTCCGCCACCAGCGCCTGGATGTGCGGGGGAAGGGGAAGGGGGGGAAGGGGGTGGGGGGGAGGGAAGGGGTTTTAGGAGGGAAGGGGGAAGGTGAAGGAGGGAGGGGAGTAGGGAGGCAGGAAAGAGCTTGAGCGCTGCTGCCGGCGCTACAGCCGCCAGAGCGGCGCATACCCCACTCGCGGTCTCACCTCCTCGTCTGTTTTGAGCACAGGAGACGGCGCGACCAGCGCCGGCAGGCTGTAGAGCGCGACGCGCGCGCCCGCTACAACCGCCAGGGTCAACTCGTCCGCCGCCAGCGCTACAGCCGTGACGCCGTCCTGGCGGTAGCGCCGCACGGCTGTAGCGCCGGCGTAGAGCGGCGCGTCGAGGAACGTGTCGCCCGCCTCGGCGCGCCGCTTGTAGCCCATGGCGACCACGAGCAGATCGCGCGTGTGCGCCGCGTAGAAGCCTGCGACGCCCGACGCGCGACGCGGTATGGGCGGAGCGGGGATGCGGTGGGGAGACGGTGAGAAAATGGGAGTTGAAAGGAAGGGATGGGGGCAAGGAGAAACTACCAACATGACAGGGAATGTTCATAGCCGGCGCAGGGAATGATTCACAGTCGACATAGAAATGCAATCATTAGATGCGGAAGGCTGTGCGAGGCGAGGGAGCAGCGGGTGAGCCGCGAGTACCGCAAGCGCCGGCGAGCACGGAGACGCCGAACTTGTTGGAAACGGCCAGGCGAGGCCCGCCGGGAGGCAGCGACAACCCGTCTCCTCCGAACCCGCCGCTGTCCTCCTCGCCGTCGGATCCTGGCCGTCCATCGTCGCGCCGGCTCGCATCCTGCACGTCCTTGGCGGACGCGAGGCGGAATTCGACGCCGAGCTTTTTGAAGTAAACGTTGTCCACGCGCTCCGCCGGCACGCGGGTAGGCCCCATCAGTGCGATCGCGAGAGCATAGGTTGACTGACTGCGTGAAGCGCGCCGATTAGACGCATCGACTTGAGATTATGATCAGAAAACAGATCAGAGAAACAGACGTGCGATCAAAACAAATATAAGTTTGGGAAATTATGTCAATGGTAACTTATATGGGGCACTATAACGCGTACGGTAACGATTTCATGCTGGTTTCACGCGTTTGGTAACTCGCTTAACACGTTTGGTAACTCGCTTAACACGTTTGGTAACTCGCTTAACGCGGATGGTAACTTTCCACTAGCAGCCCATCACGCGAATGGTAACTTCGATGAAATCAGCTCTGACATGACCCTGATTTGACGGTTTCCCGCTCGCGCCAAACCCATCCACAAACTGTGATGCTCCCACGTCCTCCTGAACCACGAACGCCACTCTGCCGAACCAGAACCAAGCGTATTGTACACCGCGTGCACACTAAGATCAACCCAACCTGCAAACTCTCAACTTCCCGTAGCCCCAACAGATTGCTTCATGCTCTAGCCCTATCACACTCGACACTAACTTAGCACGGATTCCTTAGACCTATTACCCGGCCATAGAATCCACGGAAGCTCATGTGACAGCTGCTCCTTATCAGAGGTACGTCTCTATCCGTTTCACTTCCCTAACAGCTGAGCCTTCTCGAATCTTAACATTGTTAAAAAATCGTAAGGCCAGCGGTGGTCGCGCCACACTCGCCGCTCTCGCGTTCAGCGGCGTGCCGGCCGCTGGACCGTCACGCCGGACCATCTGCTTGCCGCTATGCGCCCAGCGGAATGCTCGCCGCTGGGCGCGTGGCGCGCCTCTCGCGGCCAGCGCCATGCGCCCAGCGGAATGCTCGCCGCTGGGCGCGTAGCGCGCCTCTTGCGGCCAGCGCTATGCGCCCAGCAGTATGCTCGCCGCTGGGCGTGTAGCGCGCCTCTCGCGGCCAGCGCTATGCGCCCAGCGGAAAGCTCGCCGCTTGGCGCGTAGCGCGCCTCTCGAGGCCAGCGGCATGCGCCCAGCGGTATGCTCGCCGCTGGGCGCATTGCGCCTCTAATCCGGCCAGCGCTATGCGCTCAGCGGATTGCTCACCGCTGGGCGCATTACGCCTCTCTTGCGGCCAGCTATGCGCTCAACGGATGGCTCACCGCTGGGCGCATTGCGCCTCTCTTGCGGCCAGCTATGCGCTCAGCGGATTGCTCACCGCTGGGCGCATTGCGCCTCTCTTGCGGCCAGCTATGCGCTCAGCGGATGGCTCACCGCTGGGCGCATTGCGCCTCTCTTGCGGCCAGCTATGCGCTCAGAGGCTTGCTCACCGCTGGGCGCATTGCGCCTCTCTTGCGGCCAACTATGCGCTCAGCGGATTGCTCACCGCTGGGCGCATTGCGCCTCTCTTGCGGCCAGCTATGCGCTCAGCGGATTGCTCACCGCTGGGCGCATTGCGCCTCTCTTGCGGCCAGCTATGCGCTCAGCGGATTGCTCACCGCTGGGCGCATTGCGCCTCTCTTGCGGCCAGCTATGCGCTCAGCGGATTGCTTGCTCCCCATCAAACGCTGTCTTCTCCCCTATTCTTCACCCTCATCCCTTGACACTCAAACTTTCATCCCCTAGATTGCCAATCATTGTTATAACCCCTGTCCTACCTCTCATCCTCTTTCTGTCCTCGCTCCCCATTCCCCTATTCCATCTCTTTCCGCTACCCCTCCACCTCCCTCCGAAACAGAGTGCGGAGCGCATGGCGGTGCTGTTCAAGTGCATTCTGAGCCCCGTGCGGCGGAGCAACCCCGACCTCAACTTGAACGTGGAGTCGCTCTACTACAACTAGTTTCCGGGTACCCTCCCTCTCTCTCTCTTCCGTAACCCTCACGATTGTCTCGCTGCCTTTTTCCAAAAACCTCCTGACTCTCTCTCTCTCCCTTTCCACTCTCTCACGCTTGTCTCGCACCCTACTCTGATTTCCCAGCCCTCCCATTCTCTGTTCCGTAACCCTCACGACTGCCTCGCTGCCTTTTTCCAAAAACCTCCTGACTCTCTCTCTCTCTCCCTTTCCACTCTCTCACGCTTGTCTCGCACCCTACTCTGATATTCCATGCCCTCCCATTCTCTGCTGCGTAACCCTCACGATTGTCTCGCTGCCTTTTTCCAAAAACCTCCTGACTCTCTCTCTCTCTCCCTTTCCACTCTCTCACGCTTGTCTCGCACCCTACTCTGATTTCCCATCCCTCCCATTCTCTGCTGCGTAACCCTCACGATTGTCTCGCTGCCTTTTTCGAAAAACCTCCTGACTCTCTCTCTCTCTCCCTTTCCACTCTCTCACGCTGAGCTCGCACCCTACTCTGATTTCCCAGCCCTCCCATTCTCTGCTGCGTAACCCTCACGATTGTCTCGCTGCCTTTTTCCAAAAACCTCCTGACTCTCTCTCTCTCTCCCTTTCCACTCTCTCACGCTGAGCTCGCACCCTACTCTGATTTCCCAGCCCTCCCATTCTCTGCTGCGTAACCCTCACGATTGTCTCGCTGCCTTTTTCCAAAAACCTCCTGACTCTCTCTCTCTCTCCCTTTCCACTCTCTCACGCTGAGCTCGCACCCTACTCTGATTTCCCAGCCCTCCCATTCTCTGCTGCGTAACCCTCACGATTGTCTCGCTGCCTTTTTCCAAAAACCTCCTGACTCTCTCTCTCTCTCCATTTCCACTCTCTCACGCTGAGCTCGCACCCTACTCTGATTTCCCAGCCCTCCCATTCTCTGCTGCGTAACCCTCACGATTGTCTCGCTGCCTTTTTCCAAAAACCTCCTGACTCTCTCTCTCTCTCCCTTTCCACTCTCTCACGCTGAGCTCGCACCCTACTCTGATTTCCCAGCCCTCCCATTCTCTGCTGCGTAACCCTCACGATTGTCTCGCTGCCTTTTTCCAAAAACCTCCTGACTCTCTCTCTCTCTCCATTTCCACTCTCTCACGCTGAGCTCGCACCCTACTCTGATTTCCCAGCCCTCCCATTCTCTGCTGCGTAACCCTCACGATTGTCTCGCTGCCTTTTTCCAAAAACCTCCTGACTCTCTCTCTCTCTCTCCCTTTCCACTCTCTCACGCTGAGCTCGCACCCTACTCTGATTTCCCAGCCCTCCCATTCTCTGCTGCGTAACCCTCACGACTGTCTCGCTGCCTTTTTCCAAAAACCTCCTGACTCTCTCTCTCTCTCTCCCTTTCCACTCTCTCATGCTGAGCTCGCACCCTACTCTGATTTCCCAGCCCTCCCATTCTCTGCTGCGTAACCCTCACGATTGTCTCGCTGCCTTTTTCCAAAAACCTCCTGACTCTCTCTCTCTCTCCCTTTCCACTCTCTCACGCTGAGCTCGCACCCTACTCTGATTTCCCAGCCCTCCCATTCTCTGCTGCGTAACCCTCACGATTGTCTCGCTGCCTTTTTCCAAAAACCTCCTGACTCTCTCTCTCTCTCCATTTCCACTCTCTCACGCTGAGCTCGCACCCTACTCTGATTTCCCAGCCCTCCCATTCTCTGCTGCGTAACCCTCACGATTGTCTCGCTGCCTTTTTCCAAAAACCTCCTGACTCTCTCTCTCTCTCTCCCTTTCCACTCTCTCACGCTGAGCTCGCACCCTACTCTGATTTCCCAGCCCTCCCATTCTCTGCTGCGTAACCCTCACGACTGTCTCGCTGCCTTTTTCCAAAAACCTCCTGACTCTCTCTCTCTCTCTCCCTTTCCACTCTCTCATGCTGAGCTCGCACCCTACTCTGATTTCCCAGCCCTCCCATTCTCTGCTGCGTAACCCTCACGATTGTCTCGCTGCCTTTTTCCAAAAACCTCCTGACTCTCTCTCTCTCTCCCTTTCCACTCTCTCACGCTGAGCTCGCACCCTACTCTGATTTCCCAGCCCTCCCATTCTCTGCTGCGTAACCCTCACCATTGTCTCGCTGCCTTTTTCCAAAAACCTCCTGACTCTCTCTCTCTCTCCCTTTCCACTCTCTCACGCTGAGCTCGCACCCTACTCTGATTTCCCAGCCCTCCCATTCTCTGCTGCGTAACCCTCACGATTGTCTCGCTGCCTTTTTCCAAAAACCTCCTGACTCTCTCTCTCTCTCTCCCTTTCCACTCTCTCACGCTGAGCTCGCACCCTACTCTGATTTCCCAGCCCTCCCATTCTCTGCTGCGTAACCCTCACGATTGTCTCGCTGCCTTTTTCCAAAAACCTCCTGACTCTCTCTCTCTCTCCATTTCCACTCTCTCACGCTGAGCTCGCACCCTACTCTGATTTCCCAGCCCTCCCATTCTCTGCTGCGTAACCCTCACGATTGTCTCGCTGCCTTTTTCCAAAAACCTCCTGACTCTCTCTCTCTCTCTCCCTTTCCACTCTCTCACGCTGAGCTCGCACCCTACTCTGATTTCCCAGCCCTCCCATTCTCTGCTGCGTAACCCTCACGACTGTCTCGCTGCCTTTTTCCAAAAACCTCCTGACTCTCTCTCTCTCTCTCCCTTTCCACTCTCTCATGCTGAGCTCGCACCCTACTCTGATTTCCCAGCCCTCCCATTCTCTGCTGCGTAACCCTCACGATTGTCTCGCTGCCTTTTTCCAAAAACCTCCTGACTCTCTCTCTCTCTCCCTTTCCACTCTCTCACGCTGAGCTCGCACCCTACTCTGATTTCCCAGCCCTCCCATTCTCTGCTGCGTAACCCTCACGATTGTCTCGCTGCCTTTTTCCAAAAACCTCCTGACTCTCTCTCTCTCTCCATTTCCACTCTCTCACGCTGAGCTCGCACCCTACTCTGATTTCCCAGCCCTCCCATTCTCTGCTGCGTAACCCTCACGATTGTCTCGCTGCCTTTTTCCAAAAACCTCCTGACTCTCTCTCTCTCTCTCCCTTTCCACTCTCTCACGCTGAGCTCGCACCCTACTCTGATTTCCCAGCCCTCCCATTCTCTGCTGCGTAACCCTCACGACTGTCTCGCTGCCTTTTTCCAAAAACCTCCTGACTCTCTCTCTCTCTCTCCCTTTCCACTCTCTCATGCTGAGCTCGCACCCTACTCTGATTTCCCAGCCCTCCCATTCTCTGCTGCGTAACCCTCACGATTGTCTCGCTGCCTTTTTCCAAAAACCTCCTGACTCTCTCTCTCTCTCCCTTTCCACTCTCTCACGCTGAGCTCGCACCCTACTCTGATTTCCCAGCCCTCCCATTCTCTGCTGCGTAACCCTCACCATTGTCTCGCTGCCTTTTTCCAAAAACCTCCTGACTCTCTCTCTCTCTCCCTTTCCACTCTCTCACGCTGAGCTCGCACCCTACTCTGATTTCCCAGCCCTCCCATTCTCTGCTGCGTAACCCTCACGATTGTCTCGCTGCCTTTTTCCAAAAACCTCCTGACTCTCTCTCTCTCTCTCCCTTTCCACTCTCTCACGCTGAGCTCGCACCCTACTCTGATTTCCCAGCCCTCCCATTCTCTGCTGCGTAACCCTCACGATTGTCTCGCTGCCTTTTTCCAAAAACCTCCTGACTCTCTCTCTCTCTCCCTTTCCACTCTCTCACGCTGAGCTCGCACCCTACTCTGATTTCCCAGCCCTCCCATTCTCTGCTGCGTAACCCTCACGACTGTCTCGCTGCCTTTTTCCAAAAACCTCCTGACTCTCTCTCTCTCTCCCTTTCCACTCTCTCACGCTGAGCTCGCACCCTACTCTGATTTCCCAGCCCTCCCATTCTCTGCTGCGTAACCCTCACGATTGTCTCGCTGCCTTTTTCCAAAAACCTCCTGACTCTCTCTCTCTCTCCCTTTCCACTCTCTCACGCTGAGCTCGCACCCTACTCTGATTTCCCAGCCCTCCCATTCTCTGCTGCGTAACCCTCACGATTGTCTCGCTGCCTTTTTCCAAAAACCTCCTGACCCTGAAGCAATCTGTTGGGGCTACGGGAAGTTGAGAGTTTGCAGGTTGGGTTGATCTTAGTGTGCACGCGGTGTACAATACGCTTGGTTCTGGTTCGGCAGAGTGGCGTTCGTGGTTCAGGAGGACGTGGGAGCATCACAGTTTGTGGATGGGTTT